TTTTTGTTGTTTTTATCGTTATCGCAAGTAACGTTTGAATTTCATGGCATAGCTGGTCCTTTAGTGTTGCTGCGCATCCCAATGACAGTGCTTTTCACAGTAATTAATGCCACCTTGTTACGTATTTTGTGTTGTGCAACAGCAGTACAAAACGCATATTGTGTGTGTGTGTGTCCGCAACTTTCAACTTGGAGACCACAAAAGCTAAGAAGCTGAAAATTTACGGGAATGTTCCCCACACACACCGGTAACCCCGCAAATTTAAATTCAGCTTCCCCGTACCCGCGGGTAACACATATGGCCCCGTAAAAGTTTCGGCGGGGTAAATTATTATCTCGGGAACTGCGGAATCTAGAAAGCTGAAATTTTGTAAGGCTTTTCCTTGCCCACGTGCAACCCCTCAAATTTAAATTCAGAGAAACTCAATTTCAATTTTTTTTTTTCTTTTGTAGTATTCGAGGAGCCAGAAGATCCAGCCAGTCGTTCGTTTTTCTCCGAAATCATTGCTTCTGTATCAGATGTGAAATTCTCTCACGACGGTCGATATTTGCTCACAAGAGATTATCTTACTGCCAAAGTTTGTTTGTTTATCCGTCTTTGTATATAAATCAATAGTGGATTTTTTTCCTGTTTGATCCTTTGCTGCAGCAAAGTTTGGCTGCCTGCCAAATAGTTGTTCAGATGCTTTGTTCAGCATTTGTTTGTTCTGACAAGCATCGGCACATTTGGCACGATGGTGCATACTTTTTATTTTATTTGCTAAATCAAGAAATTTTGGCATTCGTTCCCCTATTTTTTCCTTTTTTTTTTAATTTTTGGGGGGAAAATGTGAAATCCATTTTACTGTTTTATCAAAATGGTAATTTTGGCTCAGTTTCCCCTGCTTTTTCTTTTTTTTTTGGTTCTTGTAGAAAGAAATGTGAGATTCTTTCAGCTGTTTTATCGTCGATTTTCCTATCCTTCGAGTTGGACCTCCATTATTCCTTCCTTTCCCTTATATAGCCAAACTGTTTCTCAACTTCTCTAAAATAAGGGGAAGTATGCTAAAAGTTAAACGTAGAGGTACTTGAGACTACGCTTCAGGCGCTAAAAATTTTAAAAGATCGAAGATTAAGGAATTGACACTGTATTTAAAATGCTTTCGAATAACGATAGGCAAACTGCACTAAATTCGGCCCTCATGAAAGTCTCATGGATGGGAAAGGAGATTTTGAAAACCAAATTAGCCAGAGAGTGATGAATTAAGCAAAAGATTTAGTGGGATTTGATCAGTGGTCCCCTGGTCGGGCCTATCAATTCTAAGGCCATTTTGGTAGTGAGATAAATTATCATCTTTTTTTTTTTTTACTGTGATATCGTACAGTAAAGTGTTTTGGAAAATTTTGAAAAATGTAAACTATGGATGTTTGTTTGGCGCTATAGGTCAGCCAATGAAAAGGACACAGTCGAATACTGTCAATTGTGGGGAAGCAGTGAGTGCTAATTCAGATGCCTAGATAAGCAAGCCTGTATGTGCATTAGCTGTTGTCCGGTCTGTGTTTCATTCCTAAACTGTAAACACAGACGGCAGAGTCGGTGCGGAATGTGGTGGGAATCATCAGTACAGTGCCCCACTCCGCCATGTTTTGAACGAATATGTGACTTTAGAGAAAGAAAAGCAAAAATTGGTAGAAAAAGTGGGAAAAGATGGCTTACATAGGTTTCTCTTCTTTTGCTAGCTCTGAACAAATACGATTAGTTATCATTCGCGACGATTTAACGCCCATTTATGCAGATCTGGGATCTGAATATGGAATCGGGACCAGTGGAGACCTATCCAGTGCATGATTA